ATGGACACGCGTCACACTTTGAGATATCAAATTTTGCAGATAATCTCCGTGGTCCCTCTGGCTCGTTGCATACACCAGATCTTTGATGCCAGAACAATTTTGAAGCCTGATGAGGGTTCAGGGGAGCCGACTCAGCAGACCCCCACCCAGTGTCTTAGATAGGGTTGAGTTTTAGCCCTTATTGTACGCAAGATTGAGATAGGATTGGTGACGGAAGCAATGTATAGGCTTTGTCTCAAGGTGCCCGATTGTATCACTATCTAATTTTGCTCGTAGGGATGATCGTGTCGCACGTAGCGACTAATGCCCACTAACTTGATCTGTCAGCCACCACACAGCGTCAGTCTACGCCTCAAAAACTCTGCCAAGCGAGTGCCGACTTCTTCTATCAGCAAGATGATATATATGTGGGCGTAGTTTTTCGATTGAAATAACAGACTTACATGAACTTCAGTACCCCAAGGTTGGTCTTGTATTGTATCCGATGTTGTAACAGAGTCTTATCAGATCGTAGGCAAAGCTATCGAGCGCAAGAAGAGTTGCAATTCTCGGTCCCAGAATCCCATACCCAGAGTGAGCTTCCTCGTTATTGCGTAGGCTTATTGGCACTCACGAGAAGGGCCAGTCCTTGTTCATAACCCGTCAGCCGATCTTCATGCTTTTGTGAAACTCTGGACGAATTCTCACTTGATTGCAGGAATTATATTGAGCTTCTAGGAGTCTCCGACAGGATACTTGGTTTTCAGAGTGAGTAACATTGCTTAGAGATTCATCTACACTGAGCAAACGAAAAGTCACAGTTCATGAATTCCAACCGCAAAGTTCTGGGACAATACAAGCCTACCCCTATATCTTCAACGATTGTCGCCCACCACCCTCTCTAGGTCTGTTCTCTGTTTCCACAGGTCACTTACCTGGGTACGAGGTGTCTTCCTCGAAGCCTTGATTCGTCTAACTACATTTCTTTGCTGTTGACCTAAAATAGATCCCGGGTCCCCTATATTCCTCGCTCCGACGAAATAAACTTGATGCATTCTGATAGCTCTTGTCAGCCACAGCCCGATTACGACTTAAACGAGTATGCAAGCTGCACTTCGGTCCAGTTGCTCAGCTCCTATGACGAGTCCCATCAGCTCAATCCAATTAGCCCAGTCCGACAACCACCACCCCAGGCTTCAATTTCTATGAATCTGAACTCCAGCCCCGACACCGTACTTCCGTCCCGCACTTCACAGCTCGAAAACGTCAATCAGCTTCGGAAAGTAGGTTCTGCAGTCACTACTGAAGTAGCGACAAGGAATCGCACGACTCAACCGGTATATTTTTGCAAAGTTCCCGGATGCACATCGAGAGGCTTCACACAGAAGCACAACTTTGAATGTGAGCTTAGTCTCATTGTAGGTCTATTCTCACTCACTTATTCATTGATCCCCAGATCATAACAGATCCCACACAAATAGCAAGCCTTTTGTATGCGACGACTGTGAGCGAGGTTTCAACTCGCGATCCGATCTCACCAGGCATAATCGGAGAGTGCACAAGGCGTGAGGCCTGCTGGGTTCATTTCATTTGGCGGGGACTGGACAGTTTGATGATTTATCCCTCTGGACAGTTTTAAGACAATGTTCCCTCTCATATCGAATCATCTACATGTGATGTCTACGTAGTAGCGGATCATAGTTATACTGTATCGGTCTTGAATGTGTTTAGATCTTGACAAACCGGATTACCAGAGGCACGAGACCAACCGTTCTTTTGCCCAAGGACTGCCGACAATCTCTTGATTCGACGATCCTTCTTCACGGATTCTCGCGGAAATTGGCACTGCTCAACAAGAGTCGAGTATGAGTGAGTTTGAAAGTTAAGCTACTGGACGGTGGGTACGACAACTGGTAGTATATGGATGCATTCTTCTATCATGAAAATCTGCACACTCCGGCCGAGTACAAATAATCATGAAACTTTGGAACGCTTTCAGTCAGCAGCATGCACCCTTCGCCGTGGCTACGAGCAATATAAACCAGAGGGGGACACGGAACAGTCGTCTGCAGGGCAGGAACCTGATGGGGACTGAGCTAGACCGAGTTACGCGACTAACACGCTTTAATCGAGCTGCCGGCCGGCAAAGCGATCAACATCCGCAATTCGGTACATCCTCTTTCTTTGACCTGTCCTTCTCAACTGGGGGCCGGATTGCATAGTGGGACTTGGTTGATCCTACCTGGCCTCTGTTCGCCCTGAATCTAGAAAGTCGTGGCGTTCTCGGTCTCGGTGACATGAAGGATTTGCTTGGGGAATCAAGAGGACATGTGATAGATGAATATTCCGACCTCTCCAACTGCGCTGATAGATTGAAAGGTGGGTGCAATTATGAATCCCTCGGATTTTCTTGTAGTCGCTAGAAAAGTGCGCACGATCCCCTAGATGAAAGCCATCCGGGGGCTCAATATGACCGAGCAATGCAGTCCTGCAATGCTCTGGTCCAGATAGCCACATCGGAGTGATGGTAAACAGGGATTATGAACAATTACGTGGTATCCCCTGGGCTAATGCCTTTATAGAATGAACTGGTTACTGTATCCTCTAAGTATCGTCACTATCGGACGGCAATAAAACGGGCAGTTGTTCTGGAGACAGCACTTACCGCGATTATAAACGCTTTTTCCCACGCCACGAGTTTTCAGACTGATCACGGCAGGCATCGACAAGTTCAATATTGAACATTAGCTCGCTCGGTCCGACGGCCCTAGACGTCGAGATGGTCCATGCACTCAGCCTCTTTTGCCACAATGACTGAGAATCAGAATCCCCTCTTGTTGCTAAACCCCCGTTGCGATTCACAATTCACATAGCTCGTTGTTTGTTGATAACTCCCGCACGCGCAACCATGAATCTCGTTTTGCTCCGATTATTCTCCGGAGTATGTCCACATTCTGTACCCAACGGACAACTCGGGTGGACAGATGGTTGGTGATCGACATGGCAGTCGTCCATCTGTAAGCATTATTCGCCCTTGTTTTGTATTTCTGCACTCGAGAAGTCATTGATGATCTGATGGTGTGAGGGTCAGAGAGATTCACTCACAACTCAGGAGCCACCCAGTTGCATCAGCACCATTTCTGTATCAACTGAATGTCTACTCACTTCCATCTTTCCGTTGACTTTGGGGTACTGAATCATTCTTCTCAACAGTAAACAATGACAGAGTCGCGACTTCGGATCGTCTTAGTCGTTTAGTTGATGGGATTCTCTCTTATGACCCGATATTGAAACTCGCGAAGGTTAGATGTTCCTCACGACACTGTGCTTTGCCCACCCAAGCAGGATTTAACTTGGCATCATCGTGCGGTTACACGCCGCTGATTTAGAACTTGGACGTCTGACCGAGGGTTATGTTCGTGTCCTGGAGTAGACCGAAGTACTGCGTGAGGAAATTATGATTTAATCTTGGAATAACCCCTTTAGCACTGAAGGAGAGTGCAGTCTGCCATTGTTATCAACGTGAGAGTCAAGCTAAATGACCGCCCCTCAAGATGGTCTGTGCGCTCGGCTTCTTTCGCCTCAGTGGCAGGGAATCTTTGGAAATCTTCCCACCCTCTTTTCATCTCGAACCTCTACCGCAACGCATGTATCTCATCGAAGCTCAATACCTTTAGACGGTCGTACCTCTCATGCACACGCAGTCGTGAATCACTGGGCCGAGTTAGCGTGAAGTCAAAGGTGGATTTTGGCTCGTCTCAATTCTCAAATTACTTATACTGTTATTCTCCGCACTTACTACGTTCCACTAGGTTCATGCAGACGCACGACCCCAAGAATGAGGACGAGGTGGAGACTCCCTCGGCCGTATGGAAGCTCTCGCTTCGGTCGATATCTTTTGGTCCGCGTGTATCGATTCTAGTTCTTGGACCCACAGAGATGTGTTCGTTTCCTTTACCGTGGATACCTTCCGTGCGTCTTTGGTAAGCTACCTTTCAGTCGTTTTCACATCATTATTTGATACTCAGTCTCTAGGTTTAGAAAAGTGTTGAGTCTCGAGACCTGAATGGTGGCTGATTACTCAGCAGTCACCGTGCGTCCACAGATTCAGGTCGTGGTTAGGTTCACGAGGATGCTGGAATGTGGTGCGTCTCTCATCTTTGTTTATCCTTTCTATCCCTTCGTCTAACTATGCCTTATTCAATGTAGGTATTATCAACTTTCGCAGCTTGAAGTTTCGGTATAAGGACGCCAAACGCTTCAGAGAAGGCAAAGCGAAGGTTTCGATAACTGCTTAGCACGTTCATCTCCCTCTCAGCGACGGCGGTTGACATTCATCAACCTTTCCCTGTTTTTCGTGGCACAGAGCTCCCCTCAATCTCTGTTTTCAATCTCTCATGCTCCCTTGGAGCCATAGTCGGTGTTTGTACAGTTTAGTGCTCTCCCATTCCTTTGAACGACCGGACAGTAGATCGAAACCTGGGCTTTGCTCAATCATTGTTGGCGTGCTGTCTATAATTAGGACATGTGAGTATTGTGGTGACCACTATACGTATTATTTGCATTCCGGATCCCACTACACTTTGTCGTCGTAGCGTAGTCAATTAGTGTACTGATCACGGAATGGCTTCGGAGGCACCCCTGGTCTTGTATATTGTGAATGCATACCTTCCAGAAGAGTGCACATAGGACTCATGAGCTTTAAGATGATATGTTCATGAGGAGATCGGTCTGTGTAAATTCGCTGTCTCATTTGTCGCGTGAAAATCAGCCGCAGTGACGGGATTGTTCTCCGAAGCAACTCCTATAGTTCTGATTCGATAACGGCCGCCTAGCGACATGGCATTGCATCCTACTCACCTACGACGACGAGGAGTGAATATTGATGTTATCATCTCGCGGAGATCATTGACGTGTCCATGATCACGCTAATACGAGTCATTTAATAGCGCTTTGCCTGAACCGACGGCTCTCATTTGGTTAAGCTCCCCTCGAAAAGTTATTCCAGAATTGTCTACTGATGATTCGACCCAGGCTCGAACTGGGGGCCTTCTGTGATACATCAGCAGCATCCTATTGACATGTAAGACAGATGCGATAACCAACTACGCCACCGAACCGGGTGGTAGAACGGCAATCAAGCCTATGGTGAGTGCCACCTCGTGGCCCCCCCTCTTCGATTGTATGCAAACTGGCATTGACGAATATGCGATGTCAATCAACGTGGGATAGGAACACGAGTGAGTAAGAGATCGAGCAGTCTTCGAGAAGGAAACATAGTGGTGTTATCGGAGAAGGCGGAATAGAGATGTGAAAGGTTTTAGGACACGACTCGAGAGTACGGATGACAGTAAGTATCCAGTCCAATTGAGAGTACGATCGTAAGCGCCGGGGTGGCTCGGGAGTTTATACGGCAAACGGCCCGCCAATCTCGTTCAGAACCAATAACACTGTAGCCAGCCCGAGCCTTTTCTTTCTCTGGGGAAAGACGAGCGGAAATTGGGAGCATCCCGAGGTTACCTTGGGCCCTCCGAGATCTGGTGTGGTATGACGAAATTGCGATCTAGAAGGCATCGAGACACCTGGGAAGCATCTTGACGAACGACGGCCATAGCCATAATCCAACCTTCAGAAGGTGAATAGACAAACCTGATATCGAATGATGGAGGAAGCGGCAATGATTTTCAAGTAGGAGGATAACGGACGGAGCCCAACTGTAACCGAGGAGATTAGGGTGATCGCAACTCCGCCCAGTGACTGGGGGGAGTCGTAGATTGGAGCAATACAGAGGAACTTGGTGACCCAGGAGCCGCTATGGCGATAGTCCCGCGTTGAATTGGAGAATCCTATGGGGAGGTGGAAGTTGGAACTCGATGGTTGCGGTGGCTTTAGACGTGTTTGATGTGGCTTCGGAGATGTTTGAAGTGAACCCAGAGGTGTTTGGGGCGGGTTTTCTGCTTTCCGTATCTCTCCCCCTTGCTCAATCCTTCTTGAGTTATTTATCTATATATCTTATTGTCCCAGGTTGTGCCATCCTTCCAGGACCTTTTTGCAAAGGGCTGTAAAACCAGACCAGAGAACGCTGTTTGACAAGCAAAGAGTAAGAGACCAAAGACACAGCCGACGACCGCCCCAGAATTCGAGGAATACAAACGACCTTCCAAGTCAAGGCCAAATAGGATCTTTGAAAGGTCAAAATCGCAGTCTTGTGCGCATTTGAGGAGTTTCTGAGTCGGAAAGAGCAGAGAGACCTTGTCAGGATTTTTCAAAAAAAAAAGAAGCAGAACATGAGGGAGTCGACATCATTTACCGGCTGAGCAATGGTAAAGGTAATGGGGGAAAAGGAACGGGTGTGAAAAGGACGATGAGCGGAGATTGCTTGGAGGAACGCACGGACCAGCTTGAGGGGCGGTTATTCAAGTCAATTGTACGCGGGTTCAGAATCACTCGAGTGAGGCAAAACTCTGATTCGACCAGGCCTGCACTGGGGACCTTCTCAGTCTGTGCTGATGGAAACTATTATGTTAGACAGATGCGATGACCAACTATGTCATCGAACCGACGTAAACAACGTGACGCGCTTACTGTTACGAATCCACCTACTGTTTTCCCTTCCCTTGGTCCCCAGGTACTTGTTCCTCATGTTTTTCTCTTTATTTCCCATGGTTACATGTTCTCACCATTGCATTCTGGCCCCCATATCATTACCTGGTACTACCTGGTGTTCCACATTGTTCCCAGATATTTTCCCAGCACACCATATGGTTTCCATCATGACAATGTTTCCACATGTATCCCTTGATTCTTATCACTTGTTCTTTCAGTTTTCCTCTTTTATCTTCATTCCCATGATATCTCTACAGCTTGGCTCTGTCATATATAATCATGGACACTTCTAGATAGTTCTCCAGTCTGACAACTTTGTCTCATAGTGCCTGTATCCAGCATGTACTATCTTACACTTGCTCTGCTCAAATCTATCTTCTCTCCTTTGCACTCTTGACCCTGTTGGTGGCCTGAGGGGTTTTCCTAGTCACTGGCCTTGTTCTTGACACTTATGCTTCGTTCCAGTGGAAACCTCAAACATTTGATCAACTTCTGGTGGATTACCCTTCCAGAGTGATTTCTCTTTCCCCCCTCAAATCCTCCCGTTTATCTTTCAAAAGTAGGGCCTCTACCCACCATTTCAATTTTTATAAACTTATTGTCTTTTTATCTTATAGTTCTGGTCACTATTGGTTATCACATCCTTGCTGACATTGATAATAAGAAGTGGGCACGGGTCTTTCATTTTGGTTGCAATGTGCATGGATCCAAAAAGCTTTTTCTTGTTCATAACCCCTATTGATGCCCAGGAAAAAGTCCGTCTGGGCCTGTCAAGCGTCATCGGGTCTCATCGGAGCGAGTATGTGAGATCTAGTCTGGTCCCACTTCAATTCGTCATTATATGAACAGTTTTGTCTTTCTTTCGAATGAATCACCTTGCCTTTGATAATCTCTCCTTCTATCAATGTCATTTTGGGCTTGACACAGCACGACTATGCACGACAAGCCGATACAATATTTGCACATTCAATCACTGTTCCTGAATCCATATTCGTATGATTCCTCGAGTCGTTTGCTAAGCCAACGTAATTCCTTCTCTTGACTTGAAGGGTCTCTCAACAATTTCTTGACTAGGTATTATCAGAAAGTGAGTTTCTCTAGGCCTGCTTACTCGCAGAAACAACAAAGACACTAGTTCAACAGAACCATTGAACCTCAAGAAGTCGAAATATGTCAAGACTTTGGGGGGCCGAGACTTTGGGGTACGAGTTTGGCTGTGAACTGACTCAGCGCCCCCTATAACTGGGTTTCCCTCATGCCATGACATTCTCGCCGCGTCGTCAACTCAGCACCCGGCTGGCCACCGTATGCTGCATTGACGATGCTTTCATTTCATCTCTCCTACCTTGCTTCTCCCTTATATGTGAGTAATTCATTTTTCAGGTACATTGGCGCCTCAACAACCTCAATTGCCACGCGCACAGTTGGACAGGGGGGCTATTGGCACTAGAGATGGTTGAGGGAGGCTATCATGTCATTTTTGGTGCGTATCGCAAGTCCGTGCACCCATTGTTTGCTTCTGATCTCGTCATAAACCAGTACCAATGATCTCAAGCCCTCTTCGTTAACCAGTAAGGTCCACCAAACCATGCCTACCCACTTCCAACACTCTCGACTGTCTGATTTCCGCTCAAAGAAAAGGTACGCTAAGCCCATTTCTACTGTACACAGGGTTGACACTCAATTTTGCCCACTGCTGGCTACAGTACACAGCAGCAAGGACCCAATCTCACGCGCACGAATGAACGAGGTATCCAACAAGTCCATTCCTGTATGTGGTTTCTTCTGTTTGCTCACTTGTCTACTTATTTTCTCTCGTAGCAGTCACGTTCCAATCAGACTAGTAGGGTGCTCTACAGTATGGACTTGGCAGACTCCTCTATCTTTGCGTGAATATAAGTTTATTGTGATATCGTATCCTGTTGAGCGAGAGCAAAGCGAATGGAATCATGATCAAGTGAAAGGAAACCAGAAATTGTCAGTGGATCCCACCCAATGAGATGAGATTAGTTTCATCTTTCTTTGATGACACCAGAGGTTGTCTGAATCTTTAATTGCGTTAGTGCAAATATTCTCGTGTGGTCGAGTGTCAGTCGGTCTCATTCAGTAAGGGGAATGTTCGATGAGACGCGATGACGTTCGACAGGGTCAGATGGACTTTTTCCTGGGATTGATGCCTGGTCAAGTTGGGACCAATGGGCAATATTGATTGGGGGCAGGGTTGTCAACGGTTGGGCTTCTCATCGCTTGAAGGACCGGACGGTTTTTGATTCTGTATAGTCGTTGCCAACATACGGTTCACAACACCCCGGGATACTATATTCACTGTCCACATCTTCATATCCCCCCTATTCTCCATTAATTGACCATGATTTTTTGTGAATGTGTACCTTCTAAGCCTGAGGAAAGTACGCATAGAATTCATCGCCTTTGCCTTTTGAAATGATGTGTATCGATATCTCGGATTGACCCGGTCATTGTTGATGGGTTGTTCTTGTTCGACCCGACATTAGTTATTTTCCTCGCACGCAACAGTTTTAATCATCCCTTCCATTTAGCAGTAAAGGCAACAAAAATACTTCTAATATCTGCTGGAGATATTCCGTCACACGGAGTTGGACCCTGGGCAATCGGGTTTTGATGGACGGGGTCAAGTGGATGAGAGGTGATAATGTTGGCCACTACACCATAACAGAGTTGCCTCAGTTCACGGAGTATATCACCTAATTCAGAGCCTCAATGAAACATGATGAGCTAGTAGTAAGCGGTGCTATAGAGCAAACATTTCCTTGAAAAAGAGGGATGAGAGGCTGGGTCACGGGTGCACTGACGGACATGCAGACTAGATAGAGCCCTGGCTTGCACTGGCGCAATTCTGTTACCTGTTTGATTAAGGTCTCAGCTCAAGCTCACCAAATGGCAAAGGGATATACTGACTTTGTGGTCGATTTGTAGTAGTCATCAGATTCACACAATCTGGCATGATTCCTGCGCGTGAACATCGCCAGTACTATGTACATGGCTTAGATGAAGATAAAATACACAAAGTCTAGAGAATTAACCCCGAAGAAGGCAATTGGTGCTGAAAGAGAAACCTGAGTCTGCCAATGGCAAGCTATGGTCTCCAGTCTCACTACAGACTATTAGCTCTGATAGTAAACAATCACACCTTGACTCATAACGATCTATGCATTCAACTTCTTTTGCCTTGATCTGAAGTAGAATTTTTCTTGTGCCGTGGTTGAGACCCCCCTCCAGGCCCTCCACCATCTCCTACCATATATGGTACTTCACAGACAGGATACTCTGACTATTATATAGGGGCTGAACAGTGGAGGCAGACCAGAAATGTCATTTTTGCCATCTCCTTGCTTGAACTCCTGATTTGCTGGTCTTCTTTGAAGTGCCAATAGTTCCGGTTCAAGGCAGGAATATGTTACATAGCCACTAGGAATCAGCTGGCCCCTAAATCAAAAGTATACCAAATTTTAGCCTCATCATTTGCTACAACAAGATGAACACTGTCTGAGCTGTGCTCATCTCATGATTGAGATCTCAGATCAAGACCCAGGCAGTACTGGGATCCTATTGATGGTAGTTGTGCAGCACTCATAAACTGACTCAAGAGGCCTGCTGGCAAGTGTGACCGGTGGCTCAATTGTCAACTACCATCTGCAACTCAGGGATTTGACTAATCTTTGTCCACGGACATTTAGCACAGGCTGCTAAGCATGTACTCTGCACTTCATTGCTTTATTTTTCCCTCGTGAGTTGCTGATACATCCTCACCCCTGAGTCCTGACCCTTTCCTGACCTCAACTAGATTAATCTTAATGGAGACCGGTGCTCTGCAGATAACTTTTCCATCTCCACCAACAGCAGGCACCACAGCGGCCTTTGAATGGACTAGGGAAGCAAAAGATTTTGAGGATGCATGGCTTAGGAAGCAGATATTAGAGGACCACGGCATATCAGGTCTCTCAGAACCTTCCCAGGCGCATTTTGGCAACAAGAGTTTGGGAAATGCAAATCTTGATTTCAACAGAGCAGGGTGAGTTGTATACCCTGCTATATGCAAACTATAATGAATAGTACCTATCAGATCCTTTCTCATTTATGTTTATGACCAACCAGGTCTGGAATCTGCTATAGTAAACCCAGAAGAGATTGGGGAGTGGACAACAATCACAATGAAAGTGCTGGATCTCACAGAATTGAAAAACCTCACTTCCCTTGGAGCAACTTTACCGTATGTGTTTCAGTCATATCATCTGTTGCCTCAATCACCAATATTCTCCTACAGCATGTTGACCGTTTTTGTCACTCCTCCTTCTGCTTCTACAACTTCCCCCACATCCTCGTGTGTCTCTGCTTGACTTGTGCCAATCACCCAGAGCTGACATTTCATACCTAGCAACATACTTTCACCAAAACCCAACATCCCTCTGATTGTTGGACTGAGCATTGCAGGCACAGCTCTTCTAAGTGTTGGAGTTATTACAGTTATTATCCTTTTCCGGAGGCGCTTTCAACAAAGCTGGGGTGGTACTATTGGCATTGGATCAAATGGGGACCCAGCCCTATTGACACCATATCCTCCTCTTGGTGAGCTATTGGTAGCAGAAGGACAGCTTCGAGGGAAAGAAGACAATCAACCTCATGATATCAAGGAAACAAGAGCCCCCAACATGGAAGAACAGAGGAGGGAGAGGAGGATTGTACGTCACAAAGACAGTGGTGTAATGCTTTTGGCTGCATCAACCAATCAACAATCTTGGATTAGAGTTGCACATTTTCCTCTGTCATATTCAGAGGTGAACTTCATTCACTGATATGGTAGAGCAGCAACTTGGTTACCATGTCACAATAACTAGGAGAAAAAATGGCAGTCAAGTCTTGAAGATATCCTCCAATGCCAACTGGGAAGCAGTCTGCCTTTAGCAGATCTTTATGAATCACAATGGCTGCATTCAGAGATTTACCTCGGTATTGAGTCCAGTCTGAACACCAGAGTCCACTGAAACTTGTTGCTCTAACTTGAGTAATAGTCGGAATCCTTTCATTCAGCTCATATCCCTCCGCCATCAATGTACACAAAACGATAGCGCGTCGCTATACAGATCACTATATTCACAGTCTCAGTTCATTCTGAAGACCCTGTCTGTCTTCTTTCCCATTCCCCTGAATTTTAATGAGTCTTTGAAGAAGGGTGTTTACGGTTCTTTTAATGGGAGCTTGTCAGTCTCAAGGGTAAGTTGGACAATGTGCTCACTTCAAGAATATACTTACACCTGTGGGCCTTCAATCTGCATCTCCCAACCTATGCACTTGTGACTGAGGGACCTGGTAGGCAAAACCTCCTGGCTGCCACAAGTGTTCTTCCTCTCAATCTTGAATTGTTTCATCTTCTGTACAACAGCACTTCCAAAGCTGCCCAGGCTCCCTCTAGGATCTGGATGATTGGCTCTCCATGCATTCTCCTTGCCAAATCAATTTGTTTTGAGTCTGCACCTAAAACTTTAAACCCTACCTCTCTGGTCTTTACAGAGAGACCCAAACACTACACCTCATCCTTTAACTACTTTCAGTTCTTTGTTCTGGTGCCCAGCCCTGGTAGCTGGTTTACGTGAACAGTCGATATCCAGAGTGATAGAACCTATATCTTCACAAATTGGAACACCAGAATCACCACTTTTCATCCTATTGGCCTAGGTGTTTGCTTATGAGGTGCCTGGCGTCCTGGTGATGCTGTAATAGCCATAGCAACTTCCATGTCCCTCTAGATCCCAATCATATCCCCTCATCTACACACCGTGGTACTCAACATTTTTGATCCTATTGGCTTTAGGGCTCCAGTCGGGCGGAATAAATTGAACAAGCTCAGCAATGTCTGGTTCTCATCTATCGAGAAGTTTGCCAGATGCGCAGTCAAGGTTTCGTTTTTCACTCGAACGGCGACAAGCATGTAGCTTTAGTGGGGGAGTGTTTCTGGAAACAGATGGAGACGGGTATCTGACTACTGTTTGGGCTCCATTTGATTTCATGACCCTGGTGAATGCTAGGTTCCCCGAAAATGCTGAATCATAGCAAATGAAATGAGCCTGCGATCGTGTATTTGATGAACGCGTTCGGTGATTTGGCTGTATGATGGTGGTTACGGCAGGGTTTGCTTACCGGTTTTCTAGATGACATGGCTTGACTATCATTTTTAATCCTTGAATGACTATTGCTTGGCAGATCGGTCAAAGGATCATCGCCATAAAGGCGTCGTTTGAGTAAATTATTTATAGTATTTGGGCTGTGCGGTTGAAATAGCTCCTAGACGAACGATTATTGAATTTCAGCTCTCCCGGAAATAGCAGTGGTTTGTGGTCTACAACACACACAAGGTGTGTTGTGCTCATATACTAAGTGTGCAGCACAACAAAGATCACCTTGAGGGACCCCTCGCAACCTGAAGTTTTGGGTTGGCCTCAACTATACTTTGTTGTCGTCGCATAATCAGTCGATTGAGGCTTGCCACGGGATGTCTCCGCGGTACCCTTAGTCTTGAATATTGTGAATACATACCTCCCAGCGAAGTACGCAAAGGAACGATTGGTTTTGATATGAGATTCGCTGTCTTCAAGCCGGGGAAATCATCGAAGCAACTGTTCTATTTTGCAATCCACTTTTTAGCCACCTGGCAAGACAGTATCGTGTCCCACTACGATGACGAGAAGTGAATATTTGAATATTGATTTTATCATTTCAAGGGGATTATTGACATGTCTATGATCACGCTAATAGGAGTTATCCAATATCTGGCCGAAACGCTGATTCTCATTTGGTTAAGTTCCGCTCAAAAAGTCAACCGAAAATTCCGTCGCTATGATTTGACCCAGGCTCGAAGTGGGGACCTTCTGCGATACATCCACTACATTTTTCGACATGTAAGACAGATGCAATAACCAACTACGCCACCGAACCGGGTGGTAGAGCGGTAGTCAAGCCTGTGGTGAGTGTCACTCCGGGGCCCGCAGCCCCTCTTTAGTTGTATGCAAATTGGCATTGACTAATCTACGATATCAATCAACATCGGTAGGAACACTGGTGAGTAAGAGATCAATCGGCTATTGAGAAGTAAAATATATTAATGATTTTCGTGAAGTTGGCCAGGTAAGCGGTTTGACGCCATCATTTTGGTAAACTCAGTTGCACTTGGGGCGAACAGTTTGATAGTTCGTTTGGACATCTGAAGTGTATACCATATAATTTTTGTGAGCTTGGGTGTTGCATCAATCAAGAAATGCTCGCTTTGCTGACGCAAGTCCAAATTTCAGCAAAATGGGGTAATGGGCCGGTTGTGAGTATTCACGGATGATGGTCACTGCAACCCCTGATATAGATCAAAATCAATGTATTTAAGTGCAATCAAGGTTAAAAGTATCAGGTACATACCAATATCAGACACCAGTAGCGCACTGGCATCCTGTGTGAAAAGCCCACCCCGGGCCAATAACACACATTATTGACCCTAGAGCTTAGTAGGGTAATCAATATGGTCCTAGAAAGCTAGATTACTAACTAAGATAGGTATTTGTGTCTTGTGGACGTCCACAGGACTGGGTGATAAACCAAATAGGCCATTGTAAATGTGGCAGACAGCGTGGGTAGAAAATAGACGACACGGCATCAGAAATTTATCATATACGGAGGAAAATAGGCCATGGTGACAAGTAACCTGCTCATATATCTTGCTGTAAGGCACATCCATTGATGTTGAGCTTTTAGAAATAGATAATGAAGTGCATAATAATTCCCTCAGTGAACTACCAGAACAGCTAAGAAATCATCCAATTTCTTGACTCTCCTGGATTTTTCCGGCCACACCCTAGTCCAAACTTGCTGAGTCACACTCAGGTGGTTTCTACAGGTTGGGATAGATTGAATGTACACTACATGACTGGCTACCAGCTGGTGTTGGAGTGTCTGTGAGACACCTTTATGCTTACTATCACAGTGGTCAGAGGCGTTTTGGGAACATTTGAAGTTGTCAAGTTCTGTTCATCCACTTTATGCAGCGAGAGGTCGGGTAAAATTGATTAGGCTACACAAGGAAAAAGACTAAAAATGAAATAATAGCCCACAGGGCTTATAAGTGCCAAATCCATATAGGACCGTGGATCCGGCACCATCTGTCAGTTTGGATGACCCCTCAAAGTTACACGAGCCCCCTTCCAGTAGAACTTCAACATGCTTACTCTATTGCCAGTCTATCAGATCACGCCACCAATGTATGTCAGGCAATATATAGGATTTATTGATTATCACTAAGCAGTGGCTTTTCATGCAAGATTCTGAGCAACCAATGTCATAATGAATGACGGAACGAGAGAGACGAACTTACCAGCACCATCTCCCATCCTCTGTCTACAGATCTTCAAGGATTGATATCGTTGGTTGTTTCTTGAGATTAAGCTCTCAGCTTGTTCGTGCTATCGACGCTGCGCGGAGAACAACTGCCCCAATCCTCTTGAGATGATCGGAGGCCTGTGCCACGAGTGGCGGGTTTGTTTGGAGCGGGAAGTCGGGGATATTAGAATTCTGGAAGTCGTTGCATCGAGAATCGGACTCATTATCGGCAACTTTGCGGACACTCTATTGTCAGCAGCTAGTGTTAGTTCCTACTCTGAGAGAACGGTCACGTCTGATATTCTAATACACAGGTTGTCGTGGGTGCTGGTTGGTCATCATTGTGAAGGTCCACTTTAGCTGAAGTCTCCTACAAATTGGTTGAGTTATACATTTCCATGAATTGATCGTGATGTATCGCATATTCATTCACAATACAGTGTGTACGATTTCCGTGCTATTCAAGGGCCAAAGAGAATTCCAGGGAGATTGAACTAACGCGGGTGGTACTGGTGCATTCCAAAGCAGAGCCATAGCTTCAATGGATTTCTGAAATCAAAAACCTGTACTGGTGGATCTCGAACAACAAATCGACAGTGAGGACAGGTGTAGCGCGGCATGTCAGGATATGAGTCCTGGTATGTTTCGAGCGTAACGAAAAATCACTGAGTAAGGCAAGATACACAAAATGTGTGACCGCAGGCGAGCCTATAATTATTCAACAGTCAGTTTTGAGCAGGGGAGTGCGATACAGGTGAAGACACACCCCAAGGTACCCATAGAATGTCCTCACATACATCGCAGGTCATGGTTTCTTCCAGCCCTGAAAGGTTCTGCAGAGTGGCGGTGAGGACAAAACCAAAAAAATATCAAGGCTAAACATACCCTCTCAAGACTTGATAACTCTGAATGCAGACCCACATTGTTTCCTATCTCCCTCAACAGGTGTGAATGGAGACTCGCATTATCCTTAGTTGCCTTTGCAAGCTCTGACTCGGCGACACCACATCGCAACTTCAAATTTGAGACCGCAGCCTGAGAGACAAGAGAACCCTCCTCCAGAGTACGTGAATGAACCTCCAGCACCTGAACCATATGCAACAAGTTATCGTGCTCCGACTCTAAGGACTCGACTCGAAGTGCCATCGCGTCTTGAGTCTTGTTTAGCGCGCCTTCTTTAACCCGAGAATCATGACAGATTTTTGCTTTCTTCTCATGTTCCTCAAGCTCATGCTGCAGTTCTTTGACTTGTCCCTGTGAGCGGGTCCACTTCTCACTTATCTCAATGTTGACCGGTCCTTGTAGATTAGAACGAGCTTGGCTTCGATTGATGAACAAAGGACTCACCGATCAAGCAATTAATGTCCTTCTTCAGTGTTCAAAGCTCGTCAGGGGACACTTGCTCAGAGATCGAAGAATCCATCTTGACTAATCGGTATCTAACTGATTTTGTGTTGTGATGCAGCAGCGATCCTAATGGACCAACTTCTATTGACGAAGTATATGCGGCCCACTTGAGACCTTAAAAGTTAAAATGAAGGAGTTATGCAAGAGTTATGGTTGACCTGAAGATAGTAAGGAGATTGAGAGAGTGGACGTGGAGGAGGAAATAGGTAGTTTGCGTGACACGATTGGCGTGCGAAAAGCATTGCGTCATACGAACTGTTCGATATTTTTCGGGATTTGGCATTGCGTGAGGCCACCACCACTTGCAAATTTTATGTGCATCTCCCACGAGGAATTGAGCTTGTGGGCAGTGTATGGCTCAGAGAGACACAATCACACTTCCTACCATTGAGAACTTCTCCCTTTTTCTTGCTAGCTTCATCATCAATGCTTGCTCAATGCATGCTCGGCACGAACGGTACCGGCTGATGCCATCACGGCTAGTTTCTTGCCAGTCTACAGGCCCTCCCAGCCGGTCCAACGACCATTGGTGATACATCCGATGTCTGAGTGTCTCAAAATAACACTGTCAGGAACTTTGTTTCAAGGAGATTACAGTAGAATGAGAGGAATTGTATGAGTTTCAAGGTTGCCTCACGCAACGCAAAATCCCAAAAAATATCGAACGGTTTGTATGACGCAATGCTTTTCGCACGCCAACCGTGTCACGCAAACTACCTAATGTAGTGATCTGAGCTCAAAGTGCCGATATTACCCGTTTGAGGCACAGACCGTTATATTCACTCATCAGCCGGCCCTAAAGTAGATGCTTGCTGTGAGAGAACCTTACGTTTGATCATATCAGCGGCAGAAGTGTTCGTACCAGTGTTGGACAGTGGCAGGGCACTGACTTTCCAGCCGAGCCACTGCCTAGTTACCCTTGGCGACCGTATTAAAACAGGATACCCATGCCATAGGTGTATAGCCCGGCTTTTAACTTTCTTGGCGTCTCGTTGACAACAATCTTTCCGTCTTCGTGCTGGCAGCTGCATAAATTATAAACCGAGAAAGGCTTCGTGATCATTCTCCTACTGGCTTGATTGACAGCCCAAATACGTGACTTTATTTTGTGCATAGACGTTCAGCGCAGGCTGCTGAGCATGCGCATCACGACCCGTCATCTTCTGTTGCCCTTGTGAGTATTGCCCTCGACTTTATAATGCTGTAATCTAACCCTAAGCAGATTAATCAAACAGATCGGTGCTCTTCAAATATCCTTCCCAAATCCACCGACGGCGGCCACCACAGTATCTTTTACGTGGCTCAGAGAATCCGGAGACCGCGAGGATTTATGGCTTAGGAAACAGAAGTTAGATGACAGTGACTCCGTATCAGGTCTCTCGGAACCATTCGAGCTACACCTTAAAAACAACCAAACGGGAAGTTCAAACATTTCCTTCAATCGAGCTGGGTGAGTTTCGAGTTCCGGTAACCTGGCCATAGTAGTTGACATCGTCTCACAGGTCATTTGTTATATACATTCACGATCAACAAGGACCTTCGGAGGCTATCACAGACCCGCGAGGAATAGAGAACTTCACAGCAAGCGCAAGACAAGCCTTTCCAGTTACAGTATTCACAACCCCCACTTCAGTCGGAGCCATCCCTCAACAAACATCAACGTTGCTCAGTACTCCCAATCCTACCGTCTCCTCTGTTCCCTTGTACGTTGTCCTCGCTGAATTATCCGAAACTAAGGTTCAATGGTCTACTTACAGAAGCGACAAACCATCACCACGACCCAACCTCCCTCTGATCCTGGGATTGAGCGTTGGCAGTACAGCCCTTCTAAGCATCGGATGTACGATTAGCGTCTTTTGTTGGAAACAAAAACGTTACCGAGCGAGACAGGATGATGGTATCAGCATTGAGACTGATGATCACCCCGCCACTTTGACGCCTTATCCTCCTCCTGGTGAGGTTATAGTCTCAGAAAAGCAGCCCCGCGAGAAGGAAACCCATAGTGGAGAGGAAAACACTCCTGATTTGGAAGCGCGAAGAGAAGGGAGGAGGGATATGCGAAACGGACGAACTCGTGGCATGATACGTCGGGACAGGTTGAATCACCTAGGTTCTCGAAGTAGTGGGCCCGAAGGCCCGCCTCCGACATACTCAGAGGCGAATCTTGTGCGTTAATGTTTTGCTATAAACCCATTGAGCGCATAACTATCCTAACGGTGGATGCACCTCTGCGCGCCTCAATGTGGAGGAGTCGTACTTTTGAAATGAGGAAGGCTTCGAATAGATGAAGGACAATGAGATGCTGTGGCGGCTGGCCCATGTTGAGTTGGAGAAATCATAGCGTGGAACAAAAAATGAACAGCCTCGGGTATCAGGATGAACAACCCCGGAGTGATTGAAGAACCGATAGATGTATGTCAGCAAGGGATAAGGGCGTTCGGAAGGCGTCGAGCAAGTGGTGGTCTGCACCAAGCCAAAGAACGCGGGGTCTCCGAAAGATGAAGGGTGAAAATAACCAAGGAGATAGCAACGTTCGCCTCGGAGCTCGGAAAGTAACATGGTGGAACTTTCGAGTGCCGGTCAGATGCGACCCTTCAAAGGTCAAAATTGCAACCTTGTGCGTATTCAAAGGTCTTCTTCGTCTCGAATTACGAGTCTGTAATGAAGAAAAGAAATCTTGTTGGGATGCTCAAAGAATGGCAGAACAGAGAACGCACTAAAGACCTAGTACTTGTTAAATGTCCGCGGCCACATTCGTCTCGGCTTTTTATGGTAATCCGAGTGGAGAGTAGACCGCATAAGCCGTCATAGATGCATATTGGACTCAGTTATCAGAGCAAGTAGGATGGAATTGATATCTAATTTACCAGCTAAGCGACGGTAATGGTAACAGGTGTGAAAAGGATGATCAGCGGAGATTGCTTGGACGAACGCACGGGCCAGGTAATCGGGCGCTCCACGGATTTAGAAGCACATTCAAATGAGACAAAACTCTGATTCGACCCAGGCTCGAACTGGGGACCTTCTGTGCAGATTACCGGTTATGGGTCATGTTAGACAGATGCGATAACCAACTACGCCATCGAACCGATACAAACTCAAGATTAAGGTAACATTACAGCTTGGGGTCGGATGGGTTTGATTGAACAAGGCGACGCGCACACGCTTCGTTCCAGCGGTAAACATCAAACGCCTACCGCCTGGTCAACTTCTGGCGGATTACCTTATCAGAGTAATTTCTCTTTCGCCCTCAAATCCTCCCGTTATGTTGTTAAATAGGGCCTCTATCCACATCTCATCTTATTAGCTTATCGCTGAAAATTTATACCCTCTTGGGCTCGTCTGGTCACTATTGGTTGTCAGATCCTTATTAACATTAAGAAGCGAGCACGATCTTTTATTTCAGTTGCAATGTGTATGTACACAAAGAGTTTTTTCGCTCTTACCCCGAGAGTCAGAAGTCAATTTACCAAAGTACATATGCGCAACGAGATATATCTATCCGTCGGCTATGTGTATTAAGAAGGAGACGAATAAAAAGACTCTTCAATGGTTTAATCGATGCATCAAGAGGGAATCGAACCCCCGGCGGGTCGACAGACAAATTGTCAGCTGTGAGTCACTATGTGGCAACGACCCAGGTTACCTCTACCCCATTGATGCTTGATGTCACCCATGTAAATATGATACTCATGATCTGAACAAGGGCACCAAGGTGACCAAAAACAGAAGAGGCCGCCCCTCAAGTTGGTCTGTGCGTTTATTTAACTTCTTCGCTTCGATCCCGGTTGAGATTAGGGTTCTTCCCACCCTTTTTTCTCCCCCACTCTCCATTGGCTCTCAAAGATATGTAGTGTCGGCGGGATGCGCACGGATGAAAGTCCGTTTCTGTGTCATATACGTACGGTACCCTGAACCCGGGGCCTCAGGGTCTCCGGTCTCGGCAATGACTTCCACCCTTCCAAACCACACAAAACATGCTAGATCAATAGTAAACGGAGCCTCTCGTCGCGAGGAGGCCATCACAGCAGTCAGTAGGTGTCGTAGATACCTCAAAATCCCAAAGATAAGGTCAAAACACAAATTTGGATATGTCGGACATTGTCTGGTTAGTACCGCCGGGCTGCGGCCTTTTAGTGATCAGGAGCTAACAACAGAAAACGGTCTATCTGTATCCCTAAAAATGCTTTTCGGCATATATGCGACATGCCGCTGAAACAGCCGGACCCTGAGAGTCCTGCCGGATCCCAACAAATCAGGCGGAGGATGATAATCCGTGATATGCCGGCCGGGAAAATGGCATGATTTTGGCTCATGCCACTTTTATATTCAAACTCCGCAGGTTGTACTTCCGCCCTTACCTCCCTCCTCGCCTCTCTCAGCCGTGCGCTACCATCTTTCTTGGCTGCATACCCCTCAAGCCTACTCAAGTCCTCGTACTGCTACTGGACACTCAAGGGGACTCTGTCAAGTTGACCCAAGCACACGTGTCATCAAGGCGGTGAATGCAAGACCTCGATACAATCAAAACTGACCTCAAACCGCTCGCATAGTCAAGTTCGCAAATCATTCAGGTGCTCTATCTTAGTTATTTACTCAAGCACTCAAGACAGGGGCTTATTGACAGGTTTTACTGTGCCATTTCACGGTGCTTGAAAGTCAAGTACCGTATGTAGAGTACCTATACCGCAATACAAGTAATTTTATACCTTAAAAATGAGAACCAATGGTAGGAACAGTAAAAGAACATTCATAACGGGTCTACAAGCTGGCTCGGCAAATGCATATGAGCCGTCCAGCTTTGTATCAACGCTTGTCCTGAGCTTTCACGGCGATAATGCCTTAGAGATTCAACAAGCTATACCCTCAAGCCCAGTGAGAGCCTCTTTTGTGTTGTTGTCTGAGCACCTTTGGTGTGGCTCAGATGCAGCGGACCAAGTTGTCGGAACCGGCGAATCGGTTCAGGTAAGCGAAGAATGGCTAAGAAATTGGATTTCTTCCGTGCGTGTCTCGCCGACATTAAGATATGGCATTTCCCTCAAAAGCAGAACCTTTACATGCGCAACGGTCTTCAGTCAAGTGGAGGTAGAGGATTTCGACTTGGATTGACGTCGGGCTGAGGTGCGTTGGCTTCTCGATCTTCCTCTTATTCTCGACACTGACTACGTTCCACTGAATGCATAGCCCCTACCAGTGCATTCAAGGACGGCGAATGGTCGAGGGAGAGAAAATAAGCTACCTCGCCGGATCTCAGAAAGCTATTTCCCGAACCACGCCGAAGAAAGTCGATGCCTGCCTTTTACCGGCGTGCTCTCGCCAATATCGTCGGTGCGTCGTTGGTCTCTTCAGTCCGGTCTTTCTCCTGAACTTGTCTCTGGGTTCAGTACTCTCCACTCTGCTACGGGCGCATATCTCCAGGTCAAGGTAGCGATCGCTTATGGTAGAACTTGGACAGCCAATATTGGATATCCCGTCTTGATCCTCAACGACTCATTACTCTTTTCAACCGAACTCCTCAGGCCGTTTCTCAAGGTACTTATCCGGCTCGATTTTGGTTTACTGTTTCATGATAGCCTACCTATGCCTTTCGTCGCCTCCATTCTCTCGGCAACGTACGTCTCGCGCGTATCCTTATTATCGCCCCCGCTCCGTTACGTCGTTTGCGACTTTGACTGATCCATTCTTCCTCTGCTTCTGTTTTACATTATTCGACGTATTCACCAATCCCATGGCCCGCATACCCTAGCCTATATCCTTGTTGACTGAATTGAGGAGAGATTTCTCGGTCGCAATTCACGTTTATTAACCGCCAATAAATTCGGTGAGTGAAAGTAAATCCGACGTGTTTGCCCCCCAATAGGCAAAGTTAATGAACGGTTTCGCCTCGTGTTTGATTTTCTTTGGACACTACTGGGTGTGCGGGCGAGAACACGGAGCGAAAGAAAGTAGCTACAAGTGAACTGTGTGTCCTTAGGTCCTTATTCTGGAGGGGACACGTACGAAACATCGGGCAAAAAAGGCAACTAGCTCCAGCATTCCGTTACAGGGAATCGAACCCTGGGCTATCGCGCACTGTGCATCCTACGACAATGAGAGGCGATAATGTTAGCCACTACACCATAACGGAGTTAGTATTGGTACGACTTTTGTTTTTGTAGATTCTAGTTCGTCACACATCACTTTATCCCATGACTCGTGTGCAAGGGGATGGAGTATATGCCTCGAGATAATATTGGCTTCGGGATAAATGGCGGAATGAAATCACCCAGAATTCCTGAACAATCAACCGGGTCCAGCAAACTCCGGATTGGGGATTTTCTCAGTGTTTTCCTTCTCTCTCTCTCTCTCTGGTAGGTGAATACGGGAGGTGGAGCACGCTGGACGTCGAGTCTTGTGGGGGGAGCAGGTAGTGTCGCAGAGTCTATCTCATATCCAGCTTCGAGAAAATGTATCGCCCCTATGCTGCGTAGACTTCAAGGCGCGAGATCCCAGGTGTTGATAGCCCGAATGGTGGGCGCTTTGTACATCTTGACCGAGTTATTTGTACACCCGATCTCGGGAAGAGTTACAAGGAAGAGTCGCTCAAAGTCGTCGAGCAAAATGATCACCTCCGCTGCAAGGAAGAGAGCAAATTCAAAATCAGAATATCATGACCACTCACTGCATCAAGAGGGAATCGAATCCCCGGCGGGTCGACCACAAGGTGCTTGAGAATATCCGATGGCAACGACCCAGGTTACCACTACCCCATTGATGCTTGCCTAACAGATATTTGATCTGCCCAACAGAACACAACGCGAGGCTTTGCGAGCTCGTTATCCCTGCTGGACATCCGGTGCTTAGATACGACTAACAAATGATGCTGGCGAACCAAAGGGTATATATCTTGTCTACAGTCATCCCCTACCATTTGGGACGGCCAAATCTTGGTCGCAGATTTAAGGTGCATTAAGCCTCCTCTCCCTTCAGCCGCTGTATCTAGGAAGTAAACATACTATGTGAACAAGATGCTTAGCAACTCACCTTGCCCGAAGGGAGGGAACTAGCTGCGCGATTCAACTATCAGTTGAATTTTTCGTTATCAACTGAAAACCTACCATTTGGGACGTGACATCATCACGCTGATAAGCGACCAAAACGCGGAGAGATGTGAGCTATCACATCATTTACGTGACCTTTGGAATGGTGCTCAACCAGCTCATTTTGCCCAACTTCACTATTGCACGCCCGCATCGTGCTCTCTACATCTCTCGACCATCTGGGTAGCCAGGGAATGTTATGGATACTATACTATACATACCCAGTATGTTTTGGACGGTACAGTCTGCTTTGATCGTGCCTCAAGAATTCAATATTAGGCCAAACTGGACGTATTACCCATTTATCTTCTCCAGGACTTCACCTGAATGGAAACAGTGCTAATAGCATATGTATAGGTCATAAACAGATAGGAAAACCACAAGTCCGAGAGGGGACAGCGCAAGAACGCGTCAGGAAAAGCCGACGTCCCAAATGATGGGGGCATCCCAAATGGTAGGGGATGACTGTAAGCTTTGGCCCGTCGCTTTTTTGGGCCAGTCAACCGGTGAGCCTGCAAGACCGGCTAAACAGCCGGAACGGCTTCCGGCAAAATGCGCATCTTCGGACTTCCTGATGTAGCGTAGTCAGCCAATTTCATCTTGTTTTTTGTGTCCGATGTAATTGCTTGTTCAAATCTAACTAGCTGTGTCACTACGGTCGTCCTGGCAGTGTAGAGGCTGGGAGATAATTCAATGCATAATTAACTTGTTTAATTTGAAGTCGGTATGACCGAGGTATCTTGATTATAGCTCGTTCCACTTTTTTAGGACATTGCGCGCCGTTTTCACTGGAACCTCTCTGCTCAGAGCGAAATTGTCATCCCTGTCCTTCTCCCTTCATTTGCCATCCCTTGCCTATCTCTGTTTGTGCGGTTGAATGACCAAGGGTAGGCCGAGGGTTTCCTTGTACGGCTTGTATGCCCTTGCAACTAAGATAAGCTGATCATCCCTCTCGGGCCTTTTGTCATGATAGCGGTTGCCTTTGAGAACCGTCATGATTGCTAACCAGTGCTAACGAGATGGCACTCCAAGACGTCGTAATAGTGAGGCGGAGGTATACAACAGACGGCTTCGCTGTCCATCACCGTTCTTCGCCCTGGGCGACCGTGGGGATTTCTCGACGATGGTAGGATGCAGTAACAATGTTCGTCCAATACGATGAAACAGCGGCCATAATGAGCTTTTGGGGAATATGAAGGAAGATACCGTAGTTTTCTGCCCAGAATCAGGATGCAAAAATTGCCATCATGTTGTCTTGGTAACGACGCGGGGCGACTCTATGTAGAGACGATCGCGATGCTGTAGGTCGAGAGAAAAGCCTGTCAAACATCCTGCGACCCGATTATGATGGCGATTACCCAGTGGCCTCTCTCCCCAGACTCATAACTCTATTCCTCTTGCTATGCGTTGTACCACAATCTGATATCCAATTTCAAAAATCTTACTTGCCTTATTCGTACGAGACGACTTGATACTCTTGCCGAATACTTTGCTCCCTGGAATCCCGACTGACGACCGCAACTCAAGGAAGGTGACTACTCTATAAGACATTGTCATTATCAACTCTTTACTGATTGATGTGAGCTGCAAAGCATAGAATCTGCTGAGCTGGAAAGATGACATTGACATAGTTTGAAACCATCTTCACGCTGGCGGGAGATGATGTGTGCTACATATCTGATTTCGGACTTTGACCCATGTATGGGCCCCTCCATACCAGTGGCGTCCCAACACCTGTCGCTTTTGTTGGCAAATGCAGTCTCAAGCATATTGGCTTCTTTGATTCACCACTGATTTATGATCAGGCTACTGTTACTACGCACTGTTACATCTGAAGTGGCAAGACCGGAGGAGTATAAAGCAGCCTGCCTAGAGTTGAACAGTCGACGACAACACCGTTGACCGGTACAATTCACTCTCAATGAATCCATTCCCTCTACTTGCGCTCTTCACACTGCTTCTACCTCTCGTTTCCCTAGGGCAATTATCGCCTACTACATCTTGGGTATTCTAGTCCACTGAAACTTTTGAATTCTCATATACTGACTGGGACTCCAGAAATCAAATGTCACTCATTCGTTGCAGGATCGTTTGGACACCGCTTATTCGGCATTGATCGAAGGACCTCGACGCGTCGTTGACAGTTTGTGGCCATCTCATATATCTCGCATACTTGTCTAACGCTGTGGCATATAATCAGAAGGCGGTCCTTCAGTACCCGGCAGTGATACATTTGGATACTCGCAACTTTACGCGGCCATGGCCAACTTCCAGCTCGCTACTCAAACTTCAAATTACACGTTTTACGGATTTGTGTCTCAGAATTTCCACCAAATACTCAGGCCATATGGTGGTGCCACAGTCGAAATACTGTAAGAGTCAATTCAATATTCAAGGTATCCATGTAGTATGTCTTAAGCACGTCATTTCTCCAGTGACGACTGCTATGCCGCAATCCGCTGGTACAAGGCGCGTCCTGATGAACCGTATTTCCTCCAGATCGCACGCATGCAGTGGGAACGGGCATATCGGCTCACAATCTCCGAAGAAGCCATTTCAAATAGGACTATGGCGGCCAAAGGGTTTCCAGTCTGTCGGGGTACCAATAACACATTTGATGGAGCAACATTTGTAGTGAGGCATTCAATCTATGTCCTTGACCGCCAACTGACGACCTCATCTCGACGCAACATAGAATGACACTTTGGATGACGGCGGATTCAGTAACTATGAAAGTAGGCAAGTGGTGCGTGTCTTCAGCCTGAGCTCACTGTTGATTCTCCCACTTGTAGCCTGTTTGTGTTGTGAGTATCAACCTTATCTCCCAGTATTACTATCAGCCACACGGTTTCAAGATGCTGACACTTGCTCTCACTGCAAGGGTATCGGCTTTACTTGCAGAAGCAGAACCGTCTGAGACCAAATACGTTAAAGCATTTTCGCTGTCACTAGATTTTGCACTCCCCTGGGCTGCCATATTTCGTTATAGTGGTCGCGTCTTACCTCATTCCCCACCGCTATCCACGGGATGCGACGAAAAGATGTTGTTAATGCCGTTGCCATCGAGGTCTGCCGTTGGTTTCTTGATCGAGGCAATGTCCATTATGCATAACGTAACTGGAGATGAAGACATGGGTAAAAAGTATGTTCCATTCACATATCTCCTGACGGAGTTCTGTCTAACCAAGGCTTTTTTACACTGATCAGACTAAAACACGCCGTTAACTCGACCTTGATTTCATTAGGAGCCCGGGACACAACGGAGCTCAACTCCGATGGCGTGCTTCCCAATAGTAACCACGGCGACATGAGATATTCCGGCGACATGCTCTTCCTGAGAAGCCTCGCAGAAGCTTATAGAAGGAGCGAAAGAACACTTTCGGCCGAGCTACGTGACAACATCAAGGTGTTGCTGGGAGTACATGTACGTATTGTCTTCCATTTCCAGTGCACGCACTAACACCCTGCCATACAGTACAACGCTGTGCGAGAATTAGCCACCACAGGAGATGGGGTTTATAGTCAAAGTTGGAGGGGCCTACCAACACCGACGACTTTTGATTTGTACAATCAAGCTGCTGCTGCGCAGATATTAGTTGATGGAATCAGTCTCTTCAACTCTAACGACATTTCCGGGCCCACGACAATCTCGCCGGAATCACCATCCTCTCAGCCAGGTTCTACTTCCAAGCCAACTTCTGCAGTAATTGCTGGAGTAACGGTTGGGTCCGTTATCGGTGTTGCGCTAATCGTACTCATCATCGTCTACATTGTACGTCGATGGCGCCGCAAGTATCGAACGGCCCCTTCATCTGAGTCCGGTAGCCTGGCCCAAGTGATAGAACCGTTTGTTACCACTACATTCGAGAAAAGGGTGGCCTTTCCACACAAACAGCCATCACACGAATTACATACTCGGGTGATAGTACCAGAGACACGACCTGCGCAGCTCCGGCGACACAACTCAGCACCTTCCGCACTCCAGGAAGCAAGAGATTCATTGGGCCAAAGCCGTGATATGCCTGGTTCATTCAATATCAGGATATCTGGTGGTACTAATGGTACTATCTATCCAGAGCACACTCAGGCTGGTGGAGATATAGAGACGTCTCTGACAACTCCCGACTTGGTTCGCGCCTTGTATCAGCGCCTTTGGCAAAATGGCTCGGAGAATCCGCCGGATTATCGCAGCGATCTTGGAGAGTCACAAGGAGATCGAGATATAGTTTATTGATTGAACCGGATCCCACAGGTTGCTGTATTTTACCCGGCCCTCCGGAGTTTATCCAGGTTCGTTCTTTGTTGTACTTGTAGTTATCGGGTAGCAGAAGAAGTAAGCATTTGAGGTCGTTGTACATATATCAAACTAAGATATGCTCGTGCCTCGGATTCCTCAAGCAAGCACCGTTCCAGTTTATTCCTTGAGTGTTCTGCTGGCCGAGGTAATAATCATTTTGCTGATGCGGATTCGGAGTTCGGACAAACGAGATGGTGGCCTGTAAACAATTTGACTGACGGTGGGCACCCGGCATCATATCCCTCGGAATGGATCAAAAACAGCGTGTACAGGTGGGCTTTACAGTTGTGGAGTGTCACCAGAACAAATAAGGCACATACAACCAAGACTGTAGGATAGGAATAGAGTACTTGGAGCTAGGTCGAAGTTGAGGTTGCGCTA